CACATAGCTAGATCAAACACCTGTGTAGATTGGCTGTGCATGTAGTAGGCTATATTATCCCCTGAGTAGCAAGTAGGAAGGGCCAGCTTTCTTCTCTCATTTCCCCTCACTGCTCAGGTATGTACATAGTGAACATGGCTGGAATGCAACTCATTTCCCCTTGCTGCTCAGCTGGAGCCTGTGTTGCCTAGCACACCTCGCAGTTTTCCTATTGAGACAACCAACAAACCCCAGGGCTCCATCAGTGGCAAATCAATGCCAATAGGCGAATCTGCTGACCCGAAACCTGATCCAACCAGCCCTCAATCCAATGTCTGGCCCCCTGCCTTATCGAGTGAGACTTTGCCAACAATCAGACCCTGGACCGTGCCAGCATTCCGACTTCACTTCACATTTCCCATATTTCTTCTGATTTTTTCAAACCATTCCTGACCACGCACAACCATCAGTTTCCAAATTGGGCAACTGTCACCCGCATATTCCACCACTTCCTCCATATCTCCATCAATCCTCCACCGATCCGGACGAATTTGGTATCGTTGGAAAGCCCTTGTCAACACGAGTCGAACAATGCTACGAGTAACGGATTTGGTTCAGCGGTTGTTCCGATCGCCATGTTTCTTTATTTCCTTAACAATGTTAATATTTCTTTGATATTGCTTTTTTCTTAAGTGTTCCTTGTGGATCTGTTGCCATCCTAAATCCGTCGGATCATTCGGATTTCCACGTATTTCTTTCATATTTATAGTTACCTTCTTCCTGTATTTACAAAGAGGACTCCCCCAACAGAGAGAGGTGCTCCCCAACAGACATGAAGTTTTAGCAGACATTACCAGCGCCCAGAGTGGCGAATACAAAGCTAAAGAGGCTCAAGACATAGTACAGGGACAGAGTTCCCATCAGTTTGATTATTAGTGAGATTTACGAGTTTATCTTTTTTATCACATTGCACCCGGACTGTTAGAATGCGGGGATTCGGACGACTCCGGAATGGAATCGGAGACTTATCATGGAAGGACCTTGGCCTCAGCGACTCATGCAGAGCGCTGTGCCATTGCTGGTTGTCCTAGGGGTCCCTAATTTCGGATCTAGCAGAGGGAAAGTCTCTTGGGGGGAATTCAAGTTGATTTCGGACTGAGGTTACAAGTTACTAGGTACATTGTATATAAGGAGGGGTCCGGAATCAAAAGGAACAAGGGTAGGACAAAAGGAGACAAAGGGAGATGGAAAGAGGAACAACACCGAGGGTCAAGTGTTTGACTCAATGGTGTTTCCCAAAAGAGGAATGAAGGGCCAAGGCCCAAGGAGGAAGGAAGGAGGATGGGAGTCGGGAATGGCTAGCTGACTGAATAGAAGGAAGCAGCAGCCCAAATAGGAATGAGGGAGAATAGCGGAATTGAAATGGACAATGCAATAGTTGCAAGGTCCGGAGTAAGTCCGGAAAGTCCGAACTCGGAGGTTAAACTCCGGAATATTGGCAAAGGTAATTAAATGGAATGAGCTAACCAATACAATGGGTATAAGCGGAGGTGGGGTCAAAGTCCGAGGTCGGAGCTAAGACCGGAGGTTCCGGAGACGAGACGTGAACGGGATACCGGAGCGGAGGTCCGGAGTCGGGAGCATAGGTTTTGCGTACTCGTCTGGAAGGTGTCGAGGTTGGGGTCGGACCCGGAATGTTCCGGAGTCGGACCGAAGGTGGTGTCCGAGCCGGAGGTGGGATAACCTCTTGGGAGTCAGCAAGGAGAAGGTGACGGAAGGGAAGTAGGGCTCCGGAAGTCGGAGTTCGGAGTTCCGGGAGCCCGGAGCGGAGGTCGGGATTGTATGGATATGACACGGACCATTTCTCCTCCCCCCTCCTCATCATCTGAACCTCCCCTGAGCACTACCAACTCTGTGGCCCCCTCTCTTTCTCATTAGGGTGGTAGATCCCTTGCCCCCTTACAGCGCTCCACCTGAGTCACTGAGGCCAAGGTCCTTCCATAATAAGTCTCTGATTCTGTTAGAGCATGGCGATTTTGGACGATTCCAGAGTGGAATTGGAGACTTAGCAAGGAGGGACCTTGGCCTCAGTGACTCAAGGGGAGTGCTGTGCCATTGCTGGTTGTCCTGTTGGTCCTTAATTTCAGACATAGCAAGTGAAGAGTCTCTGGGGGGCATTCTAGTCAATTTTAGACCAAGGGTCAATTGAGTATGTACAAGTGCCTATATATAGAAGAGAGATGGAAGCACAAGAAAACAAAGGGGGTCTGAAATGGAACAAAGGTGTCCAAATGGAGACAAAGGGTATTATGGAAGTGGGACTACACTGAGGGTCAAGGGTTAGACTCTATGGTGAATCCAAAAGGAGGTAAGGAGGGCAAGGCCCAGAGGGGCAGGAGGATGAGGGGAAGTGGGGTTGATGACTAACTGGCTGAATGCAAAGAAGCAGTAGTCCAAATAGTGTTGAGGGAGAAGTGTGAGATATACAATACGGATGGTGAAAGTGCCAAGGTAGATCTGCAAAGCTTGGGGGTAACAGAGCTTATGGAGGTGGGGTTGGAAGTCTGAGGAATATTGGCAATGGCATTTACATGAAATGAGTTCACCAATGCAACCAAGGTGGAGTCAAAGTCCAAGGTTGGGGACATGACAGGATCTTGGAGCAGAGGTACAAGTGGTGTCCGAGTTCAGGGTACAGGATGGAAGTGGGAGGTCATACCTTGTGGAAGAGAGTCAGAAAGTAGTGTCAGGTCCGAAGGTGGAGATCGGAGCAGATGGTGAAGGAGAGAATGAAGGAAGGTCGGTTGGGAGGCAAGACCACCACCAATCTGTTCCCTGGTTCTTTAGTTTGGATGGGGAAGTGTACTAGCAGATTTGTTGTAAATATAGTACTAATCCAAGTGTTTTGGCTAATTCTATTTTATGGGTTAGTCTAAATATGGGTTAGTGTAATTTCTCAATTTATCTAGATATAATTCTGCATAGGATCGTTAAATTTGGAATTTTAACCTGAAGTAAATCTTCTACTTGGTGAATTTTCAAAGATTCTACTCTGTCAATGGGTTTGGATTGTCTCTGAAGTGTCCCTTGGCCTTGTCTTATTTTTGTCTTATTTCTATTGCTTGTTTTAACAGTAGCAAAATAACTGTTTTTGTTTACACTTTGAAATCTGGAGTGTTAACCAGCTCTCTGTCAGGGCACACCTTCGGGTCGTTAGCGTAAGTAGCGCATTGCCACATGACCCGTATCTCCATCAGCTTCTGCTTCCTTTGTTCTTCTCCATCTCCTGTTTGATCCGGTCTGCAGCTGTCAGTTATGATGCTGTGTGATCTTCTATCTTTCTTGATCCAATACTACTGGTTACTAGCTAGTTGACTAGTTACCATCTCTACCATGTATATAAGACCGTGTGCTGGGATGGGCATGTCCCCCCAGCTTTGATATCAATTAGGTTTCTGGGGCATTCTTCGTTGCGAGCATGCATGACCCTGACACTCTCCTGTTGAAATATTTACTTAATATTTCTCTCCCTGATTGCTGCCTTTTACTACAGTGGCAATCTTAACTGTATTTCACTTTTTTGCACTGGAGTGATAACCAGAAATGCTTGAGAAAAATAATACTCTATTTTCTTACTTCTCTGAGGGGGGTGTAAAGTCGCAGAAAGGGTCTCCCTTTTATACTCCTTGGGTTGCCTTCCTTTTTTCTATGTCATATCCATCCCCAGCCATCGACTTCCGATCCCTCCGATCCCTCCAGTCTACTTCTGCTCCTTCCTCACTAACCTTGGAGCTCCCGTATTCCGCAATCCCCTCAGTACCCCTCGATGGTCACCACACCACTGTGGGAAGATGAGAAGTTAGCTTCCTTCTCATCTCCTTACCCACAGTAGATTGTGCCCTGGATAGGGCTGGCCAGACCTGAGGCTGTGGGCCATAGGGGAGGGTCATGGGGACCTGGGAGTCGTCCCCTGACACCCCTCCTTTCAATTTATTACCTACGCCTCCCTAAGTACGGAGCCCTGAAGGCTTCCAGACAGCTCCGACGTCTGCTAGCGCACTCTCGCCTCCACTGGGCAATACACTTGCTTGCCCTGCAAAGCCCACCTTCAGGCCTATCCCTCCTTTCCCTTTCTGGGTTATATCCTGCCTTTCCGTTAACCCCGTAACCCGACTTGTCAGTAATATTCAATTGGCTAATGTCTAACCCCATTAGCTCCGCTCCGTTCGGCTCCGCCATTTGCGGACCCGCCCTCGCTGTAACTATATATACTCAACTTGTACATAGGTTACACTTCAGTAATAAAATCGACTAGAGTTTACCCCCATTAGTTCTGGTTGCCAGTTTAGTAAGTTAGGGCACGGACGTGTTACTTGGCACAGCGCTCCTGGCTGTTAGAACGGGGCTGATACAGACGACTCCGGAGTGGAATCAGAGACTTAGTGTGGAGGGACCTTGGCCTCAGCGACTCAAGCGGAGCGCTGTGCCATTGCTGTTTGTCCATTTGGTCCTTAATTTCACAGTAGGTGAGCAGGAAGTCTCTAGGGGGCATTTCAGGTCGATTTCGGACTAAACCAAAACGAGTATGTACAAGCACCGATATATATAATGGAAGGGGCAAAAGCACAAGGAAAACAAAGGGTAACCGAATCGGAACGAAGACGTCCAAACAGGAACAAAGGGTAGAAGGAGCGGAGCGGTACCGAAGGTCATAAGGCAGGACCTGTGATATGTCTGAAAGGAGGTAGGGAGGGCGAGGCCCAGAGGGGCAGGAGGATGAGGGGAAGTGGGGGTGATGACTAACTGGCTAGAATGGGAAGAAGCAGTAGTCCAAATAGGGATGAGGGGTAAATGCGAGAAATACATTACAAGCGGCGAGAGTGCCGAAGGCGATCCGCGAAGCTCGGGGGTTGTGGAGCTTACGGAGGTTACGGAGGCAGGGTTGAAAGTCCGAGGGATATTGGCAATGGTGTTTACGTAGTATGAGGTCACCAATGCAATGGACTAAGACCGAGGTGGAGTCAAAGTCCGAGGTAGGGACTATGACGGAGGCTCGGAGCAAAGGTACGAGCGGTGTCCGAGTGCGAAGTACGGGACAGCGGTGGAAGGTCATAACTTGGCGGAAGGGTGGCGGAGGAGGAGCGGAGTAGGAGGAGGAGGAGTAGTAGGAGGGTGGCGAGAGGGGCGGCGTTCGGTCCGAGGTGAGTATCGGAGTGGACGGAGATAGGGGAGGAGAGGGAAGGAGGAGCAGAGGCGGCGTGGGGGGTGAGAGGAGGTGTGTTGCCAGGACCGGAGGTGAGTATCGGAACGGCAGCGGTAAGGTATGACTCCGGAGGTGAAGAGGGTGGAGGTCCGGAAGTCGGGTCGGGGTCAGGTATGCACGGATATGACATTGCCCGCTTCCACTGATTGTCCTGCATCCTCCAGTGATGTGAAGGGCTTGTTTTGTTGAAGCTGTGGATAATTTTCGGCCATCCACTCCCTCATTCGGACCTCCAGTGGCTTTGGTGGTGCTTTTTGTTTGAGTGCAGCCAAGTGCGCTTTTTCTTCACGCCAGCTCGTTATTTCTGCCTTCTGTGAGTTGTTGAACACTTTCCACCGCTCCTTAGCCTCTTCCTTCCATCGTTCCAACTCTTGCTCATTTAATTTTCTCTGAGCGCGCTCTGCTTGGTCCCTCAAGAAACCGTCATGTGTCACAACTTGGCCAAATGTCCCTTTAATGCATCCACCATCCTCCTTCGACTTCTCTGCTTCTTCCCGTGCTAAGAGCTGTGTCTGAGCTTTAGACACATACATTCCCCCTAATGCCAACTGGGCATTTGCTGCATCCACTGCATCAACGGCTCTCTCCACCAACACTTGGGCCTTCTGAAACTCGTGCCGCATTTCTTGGTTTTCTTGCACTAATTTGAGGCAAGTCTTGGATCCTAAGTCGTGATTGTCTGTGAGATCCCATTTAATTGGGGGTAGATCACTAAGTTGGCCATATGCATGTTCAGGAAGTTTGAATGTTGAACGGAGAGGTGAGGAGGACACAATGGAATTTGTGGATGAAGAAAATGACATAATATGTTCTAGGTCATTGATGGCATGCTTCTTTGCTCGGGCATGAGCTGGGGGAAAGGTAAGAGTCTCATTGGGGCTGATGGTGGTATTCTCGGTGCTGAACATTGTACACCCAGTGCCGGAAGATTGTGGTGATGCGTGGAGATTGTGGGTTGGGATGTTTGTGATTTGAGAGACAGCAAGCAAGGTGCGATTGATGATTGGTCCGTCACTTTCATCATCACTAACCTCGTTGTCTGGAACATTACTTCCACCTAGGTACATTCTAACATCCTGCGAGTTGTCCATTGGTGAAGGTGTGCATTCCTGTTGGTATTTATGAGACATCAGCTGACTGTGAAAGTGCATAATGCGCTTAACAGGTGAGGCCAAGGGAGAGGAAGATCTCCTTGGGTGGAATGTTCAATACTCGGTGCAAGTTGTTCTGGGTGGATGACACTTGGGTTGACTGGATAGATGCCAGTCACGTGGAAGCTGGTGATAATGTGAGCTGGGGTTATGGTGTCTGTCCATGCTTGACCGAAGACTGATAGAAATGAGGATTTCTTTAGCTTCCTTGGGTAGTTTCGTAAATTAAAAGCGTTGTGCTCCTTTGAGAAGCCCTGCTTTAAGAGGGAGAATATAACAACATCAAGCCCCTGGAGAACGTGTGTTGTGTGTGCAGGATAACATATAACAACAATGTTGTGGTTGTGTGCATATGTTATGAAGTCCAGACTGTAATGTGAGTTATGTCCATCCACTACCAGGAGACGGTAGCAGCCAGCAGCCTTGTGTTGTGTAGACTTGTTAAAGGTTTGAAGCCAGTCTAAGCCAATCTCATTGTCTGTCCACCCCTTTTCCGATACAGTGACTCTAGAACACAAAAATATGAACACACATTCCATGTAATGAATGGGTAACTTATGCGGCCTGCAAAGGATTATCCTTCAACCACTTTGAATTAACATTCTGCCCCTTAAAAATAACAACTGGAGGCACTGAAGTGCCATCTGCACAGACAGTCACAATCACACAGACATTCTCGCGATTCCCATCGCGTTGAATGTGTGCCCTTTTTGTCATCCTGCATGCAAAGACCTTGACCCTTTCTGTCAGGGCACGGCCTAACCGGCTACCCTGACTCCCTATGCCGGAAGGGAGTTGCCATAAGACGATCCGGAGTGATCCGAAGAATGCAGGTAATCTCGCTTAGCTCTCGCTTAGCTCCTGCTTCCTATCTTCCGTCCACATGTCACCCCTTTCCCACACCTCGCTTACGATTATCCGAATGAATAGCTATCTTTTCATGTCATCATTCTATCGGTTATCTTCTATCTCGTTGTAGCCGCACTCTAGTGGGTAGCGGTACCCATGTATATAACTCCTATCTCCGCTGAGGGTGGCACCTCAGCGTTAACAACAACTAGGATTCTTGGGAACGCCCTCTTTGTCGTGAACTGACACGCAGTCCCTGACACTTTCCCCAGTCCCAAAAGGGAAGCCACTCTCATCCATAACATAGACATCCTCATGTCGGAAATTGAAATGATTATACTGAGCTTGTAATAGTTGGAACCAGTGTTGGACAGCTGTTGGATTTACAGCACCACCCCGAGTACTTTCAAGATTGGCACTCCACTTGGGTTGAAGTCGGTCTTTGTTGCATACTAAAAACCCATCAACCCAATTTTTGCCAAGCTTGGTGAGGGATGGGTGCCGTATCTGGGCAACTTCCAATGCATACTCAATTACATGATCGCAGGTTGCTGGGAATCCACGGTCGGACATAAGAAGAAGAAAGTCTACAAGTGTATCACTCTCCACCTGATTCAACCATGACTGGTTTATTGAGGCTTCAAGGCGACTTTTCCCACCATTGAGCCTCCGCATGAATGTCGGATAGGACACTCCACAATTGGAAGCATGTTCCCGAGCACTGGCCGCTTTTTCACCCTTCTGCTTTGCACATAGAATCTCAGTTCTGTATGAAGTCAGGGTTTTCTGCATGTGCAGCTCTGTTGCCTCAGCTGCAAGATGCCTACGGCGCTCTAAGGAGTCCGCATGCTGGGCCATTTGACAAATCAAGCAAGCAAGGCAATATCGGCTCCAGGAGAGGCAGGATTGGTGATTAACTTTTTGATTGTTTGGGTAACACAGATGAAAATTATGCTTCCGACTTAGGTTCCGTGTCTCATCAAAACAAACAAACCCTAACACAAATAACACTGGCCTTTTGCCCACTGCCTACATGGATGGCTGTTGGTGAGATGAAGACTGCAACATGAGGCCAGGGTGGTTAAGTTGCAAACATGGTGACTCTTCGCATTCAAGTTTCTCATGTTTCACCGATTTTTTCCTTTATTTCATACCCGCTTGACACCAAATTTGGTACATGAGTAGTCCTAGCAACCACCTATATCCATGCCGAATCTCACCACATATGATAAAGAACTGAACAAGTTAGGTGATTGTTTCTCATTTGGGGGTGTGTCTCATTCAGGGGTGAATAACTGTAGGGGGAGAACTCGAGGTAACACTATGTAATCTTCAATTTCTTGTTGTGGTGGATTTCCCTAAGGGCCTCTGTTGCCCTTACCAGTCGAGTGGCTGCTCACAACACACTAAGTACACAGACTTCAAAAATGGAAGGAGAGGGGGGGATTGTCTATTCCGTTTCAATCGCTATGTACATATACCCATACAGCAAACATACAACTTGTGAAAAGAGTCCGAAATATATGGGTTTGGCTGAGCTAAGCCTCCACCAACAACAGCAGTAAGATTCAGCTGCCATTGGCTTAGAATAAAATTCCAAACAACAAAAGAAAATGAAAAGAAAAACACAAACTTCCTCAAACACTGCGTCAAAACTCCGTCCCTTTATTCCATTCGACTCTCCTCGTCCATAGCTTTCTAACGATACCGACTTTGTGAAATTTGGTGGAGATTTGACTGAGAACGGGAATTCTCAGAAACGGAATATATATCTTGATTATCTGTGCACAGGGAAACTTGGACCAAATAATATGCCATAATTCCAAGACTCCTCCAATGTCTTCTTTAGCATTTGTATCATTTAACTAGCCTGTATTCTCTTGGAATTTCACTGAGACTAGCTCGCATGTGAGCATCTGCATAGTTCATATTGTCCTGTGACTCCCATCATGCCTGATAATCAGAATATCTCCACAACCACTGAACCGATTAGGGTGAAATTCAACAATGAGTCTTTGGGAATTTTTCTGGATTTAATGACCCCAAAATAGTCCTCTTCCGTCAACTTTTGACCTTGTTCCCCCAGAGCATGGTCAAGTGCATGGACTTCGCACATGAGGACATCTCAGGTTGAATTTCTCCACCAAATCTCAACCAATTCCTTCGCGAAAAAGCTCTTTCGGTTCGTACGAAAACCCTCTTTCTTCTTTTCTATTACTTCCCCCTATAATTCCTTTTTCCTAATAATGTACAAGGGCGGGAGCCCAATTTTGACATATTTGCTGCATACAGTTCCATGAAATTGAGCACACCCATTATGCACTCCTACAACGTCAGCTGTGCTATAAGTGGAAGATGACTAATTAAGATGATGAGGGCTGAGTCACTGAGGGATGCGGGTAGCTCTGAAGCTGGAGTTACATATCTGAGAAATGTTGGGTGACCCCAATAAATGAAATGGATAGAAGAAGGGTTTAGAAGTATATAACAAAATGTCAGGGACTGGTCAGGAGGTCGGAGCAGTCCAGGGATTCCAAAGGTTCCAGGATGGGTCTGAACATCCAGGGTGAAATGGCTGAGGGTGTGTGTGCCAAAGTCCAGGCCGGAGCTGAGACGGTAGGGGCAGAGGTGGGGTAGGATTGTAGGGAGAAATGGTGTAGGGGATGGCAAAGTTGTTAGGAAGGTGTAGTGAGGTGGGGAAGTGCAGGGTCAGGATTCTGGGATATGACAGTACTTACTCATCAGTGCAATCAGTGCTTCCACCTGTCACATCCCAGAATCCCAACCCCTACTCACCATCTCCTGGATACTGTTGCCACCCCTTTTGATTAATCACCCCATCTATCCATTCCATGTTCCTGGACCCCTACCTGCTCCAGAACCTTTGGAACCTTCCAGACCACCCTCCAGTCTCCATCACACATCTGACCCATTTATTCTATTCTTCTGTCATATCCATACATACCCAATCCCAATCCAACTCCTGGACCCTCCACTTCACCACCTCCAGAGTCCTACCTATCCCCATCCACTCTGACATCCACCTTTGAACCAAACACCACTCCTCTTGCCACCCTCCTCCACTCACTCCTCCTCACTCCTCCTCACTCCTCCTCACTCCTCACGTCACCTCCACCCTTCCGTCCCTCTCCTACCCTACCTCCGTCCACTCTGATATTCACCTTCGGACCTGACATCATTCCTCCTCTTACCCCTCCTTCTCGTTCCTCTCCTCACTCCTCTCCTTCTGTCCCTCTTCTGCCAAATCTCCACCAAGTTACGACCTTCCACTGCTGCCCTGTACCCTGTACTCAGACACCGCTCATACCATCGCTCCGAGATTCTGTCATAGTTCTGACCTCAGACTTTGACTCCACCTTGGCTTAAGTCCATTGCATTGGTGACCTCATTCTATGTAAACACCATTGCCAATATTCCTCAGACTTTCAACCCCACCTCCATAAGCTCCGCAACCTCTGAGCTTCACGGACCAAACTCAGCACTTTCGCCACTTGTAATGTATCTTTCACGATTTCCCCTCATCCTTATTTGGACTGCTGCTTCTCTCCATTTTAGCCGGTTAGTCATCATCCCCACTTCACCCCATCCTCCTGCCCCTCTGGGCTTTGCCCTCCCTATCTCCTTTTGGATGTACCACAGAGTCAACCCATGACCTTCAGTACCACTTCGCTTCCATCATCCTTTTGTCTCCATTCAGATGCCTTTGTTCTGATTCAGACCCCCTTCGATTTCCTTGTGCTTTCATCTTTCTACTATATACAGGTGCTTGTACAGACAATGCAATAGTTGCAAAGTCCGAAGTAAGTCCGGAAAGTCCAAACTCGGAAGTCAAACTCCGGAATATTGGCAAAGGTAAATAAATGGAGGTGGGGTCAAAGTCCGAGGTTGGAGCTAAGACCAGAGTTCTGAGATGGAGATGCAAATGGGATTCCAGAGCAGAGGTCCGGAGTCAGGAGCATAGTTGCATACTTGTCTGGAAGGTGTTGAGGTTGAGGTCGGACCCGGAATGGTCTGGAGTTGGACCGAAGGTGGTGTCAGAGCTGGAGGTGGGATAACCTCTTGGGAGTTGGCAAGGAGAAGGTGATGGAAGGAAGTGGGGCTCTGGAGTCAGCTTCAGAGTTCCAGGAGCCTGGAGCAGAGGTCAGGATTGTATGGATATGACAGTCAGTAAGCAAATCAGCACAAACTCTAATATTGGTATTGGACATAGGAAACTGGTTACATAAGGTGATCCAGCTCCACTCCTTCACTGGACTGACTGGCCCCTTCTCTGTTCTCTTTTTGTATTTATACTTGTAGGTTACCATCTATGTACCTTAGTTTGAATATTGACTAGAAATCCCCCAAAGTCCTCTTGTCCTTAGTTCACCTCTAAGCTTCATCTTCACCTGAGTCAAAGTCACTGCAAGGTCCCTCCTGCTAACCTGAAATATGGGACAGCCTAGAACGCTCCATCTGAAATTGGGACACCAATGTAAGAATGGAGCACAGTGCTCTGCCCAAGTTCCTGAAGCTGAAGTCTGGTTATGAGCCTGGGTGACCTTGGGGACCTCTGGATACATGTCCCTGACAAAAATTTAAAGAAAACTCTAAAGTTCAAAAATTTATCTTTCATCTCATTTCCTGCTCAAAACTCACCCAATTAAAGCAAACAAAAAGCTGATGTATCCTACATCCATACTAAGCCTTTGACACCAAATTTCCCATGGTCAAAATTATTTGGCTCACCAAAGCATGGTGGGACACTTTTTTAAAATTGATCTATACCCTACTGTCAGAAACAGTATTTGAAGTATTTGTGGGAAGTGGAGCAGAGTGTGGTGGCATGAGTGGACACTTAGCTGATATGCTACTCCATTGCAAGGCATTGTAAGGGGGCAAGGGATCTACCACCCTAACGAGAAAGAGAGGGGGCCACAGAGTTGGTAGTGCTCAGGGGAGGTTCGGATGAAGAGGAGGGGGGGGGGAAATGGTCTGGGTGCGATGTGATAAAAATGATAAATCTCGTAAATCTCACTGATAATCAAACTAATGGGAACTCTGTCCCTGCACTATGTCTTGAGCCTCTTTGGCTTCGTATTTGCCGCTCTGGGCGCCGGTAATGTCTGCTAAAACTTCATGTTTGTTGTTGGGGAGCACCTCTCTGTGTTGGGGGAGTCCTTTTTGTAAATACAGGAAAGAGGATAACTATAAATATGAAAGAAATACATGGAAATCCGAATGATCCGACGGGTTTATGACGGCAACAGATCCACAAGGAACACTTAAGAAAAAAAGCAATATAAAAGGAATATTGACATTGTTAAGGAAATAAAGAACCATGGCGATCGGAACAACCGCTGAACCAAATGCGTCACTCGTAACATTGTTCGACTGGTGTTGACAAGGGCTTTCCAACGGTACCAAATTCGTCCGGATCGGTGGAGAATTGATGGAGATATGGAGGAAGCGGCAGAATATGCGGGTGACAGTTGCCTGATTTGGAAACTGATGGTTGTGCGTGGTCAGGAATGGTTTGAAAAAAATCGAAAAAAATATGGGAAACATGGAAGGGGTATCTGAAACAGTGGTAGATGTGTTTTGGGAGTGGGGTGCTTGATGTGGGTGGTGAAATCGCGATAATCGGCTCGTTTGCATGGTACTGGCTGTGCCTGCCTACAGCGTTGTGGGAGTTGGGACTTCAGCTTCAATGACTCAACTGGACAGAAGCCTTATGACAAGGAGTAAGGATGAGGGGGAAAATCCTAGGCAATATATGAACTAAGAGAATAAGTAAATGGGTAATATCAGCAATCAGGATCAACCTTTCCAATGAAGGGTAAGTAGGAATAGATGGCAAATACATGAGTGGCAATGAAAGATAGAAGGTCCCTAAGCAAACAAAAAGAACAAGGCCATCTGGCCATCTAGTGAGTCATCCAGCTGGCAGGCAAATAGGAAAGGAACACCCAAGTGGCCAGCCTCAATTGGAAGTCACACATGTGAGGGGGTAGGTATGGATGAGAGGTACAGGTGGAAGGGTGTGTGGTTGGATGATCCTGGGCAGATGGGCTAGCAGCATTGGGGTGCATTGACAGGCATTACAGATATTTCTGTGTCATGACAATTTTGTAAATAGCAATAAACAAGGTGCTGATTTTAGCAAACACAAAAGGTATATGTGGTCTATGAGCACACTGAGCCCATAGAGCTCATAGAGCTTTTGAAACAATGATAATGGCCATTTTACACACATTTACAGAAACATATATCCATATTATCTTTGCACTACTGGTGTCAGAGATTTCATGGAGAACATGAAGACCATTCAAACAAAAAGCTCTATGAACTCTATGAGCCCACTGAGCTCATAGAGCTTTTCAAGTGATGATAATGGCTATTTAACATGCATTTCCAAAAATGTATATACATATTATCTTTGCACTTCTGCATCTTTAGGAGAATTCTTCACTCAATGTGTAGAGGGTGCACAGCAAAAAGACTCAATTTGCTCACAGAGCTCCCTACCAAGTTTGCTGATGGACAAAGTGCTGACAGTGTTGGCATTTCTACTTGACAGGCCTCCATAGTGTGTGGCAGTGCAGTTGGACTCAGTCTACAAAGTGCTGACACTGTTGGCCCTTCTACTTGAGAGACCTCCATAGTAGGTGGCAGTGCAGTGATCCAGTGTACAAAGTGCTGACACTGTCCTAGCCTCCAGCATGCCAGCATCCAGCATCAAGCTCCTGCTCCAACTCCCAGCATCCCAAAGGTTGAGCATCCTATAACCCACTTTTGCCTTAGTCCTACTGCTGCATGCCATGTCAGCAACCCACTCTAGTCCACAAAGAAGAGCCATCCCAGCATCCAAACAACAGAAACACCTCCAGAGGTCTTTCAACATGATCTGAAGAAACACATTGAAGAAGAGCTCTCCAGTCATGCATGGGAGTTCAGCCCAGATGATATCACTCACATGCTGTCCCCCAAGATTCTTAAACATGAACCTGAAATGAAGGTTTACTGGAGCTTGGTCACTTCAATATCCTCATTGATCACCCTCACATTGAGTCTGCCATGCAGAAGTTGTTCAAAAGCATGCCAGAACCTGGTGTTGACTAGGTAAGCAAATCTTATGAAGCCTGTTAGGGAGATGGAGTTGTAGTCACTGATTTTGGCATTGTCACATTCTTGTCTGGCATAGAATTCAGCCAAAGCTCCTGTGTGTTCATATGCATTCTTGAGAGCTCTGAATAGTACTGCAGCTGGACTTTTGATATGGTGGAAGACTTATGTTGGATGGGTTCACTGAGGGAAAGCCAGATCCTTTGGCATGTGTTTTGGTGACCAATTACCCAAGCCTGGTGTTTGGGTTTGGGGTCATCAGGGGCTGTGATCCTCATCTTTCACTGTGGCAGCCTCTCTGCAAGTAAGGAATTGAGGCTCACAACAAAAGATGGGGAAGCCCATGATATTTGTAAGTTCATGAAGATCTTGCCAAGCAATTTGCTCTGGCAGATGCCTGGTGATGCCAGGTTTCCAGAATTCATGGGTTGGAAGAAGTTCCTTTTCCCCTCTGGGGGGGACAACACCATTGAAGCGATTTCCACTACAATTGTCCATTGTCCCATGGCCATAACACTTTCATGGCATTGATGCAGCTTCCCCTGTCCAACAACAAAGTGGTTCCCCAAACTCCTTTGGTGTTAGGAATGGGCAAGCCACCCAAGAGTCAAATACCAGCTCATGCTGATGCTTGTCCACCAATCAACCAAGCACAGCTGCACAAGTGGGGGGTCAAGGAAGAATCTCTGTTGGGGAAGGTGATTTAATTAATCTCTGGTGAATGTCCTAAACTTGTCAATGATAGGCACAATTCAAGTGAGAGAATTGTTATTTATACTAGGAAAAATATGACCAACACAATTTAGTATCCCCATCCCCATATGACTTCAGTGGTCCATTTGGTATTCAATTCCATGACCACCAGGTGACTCAAAAGCAAATGATGTATGAAAAGGTGTCAAATTCTTATTTTGTCCTGAATTCTTGGCCTCATGAGAGAAAGGCATGGAGTGCAACATGTACTGACATTCAATGGGTGAATTTGGAACTGCAACTCTCTTGTGGTATGAGTGATTCAATTCTAGACATTATAAATCAACCAATATGTTGTTACTGGGATAAGTCCCTCAGTCATCTAACCCCTATCTGACATACTCTCTACATACCCCCTATGTTTCCATATTTTTTAAGCCCAATTCTGACCTCAGAGCTGAATGTTGCAATATTTCCTATATCTTTGCACTAGCATGTGACCTTTCTGGTGCCTGGCATAAAGTTTAGATTTCCATATCTCAGCTTCCACTGCACTGATTTGGATGAAA